AAGTGAAAGGTGGTGGGCAGTCCACTCTGGGTTGGTATTCCATTTTCCAGTACCACAGTAACTCCCCAGGTCAGGGAAGGGAACATCTAGAGAAGAGCCTCTTAAAATCTAGGCAGATGCATATTGGGACAGACCATCCTTCAAGTGCACTGATCCCAAATGGCAAAGGACTTCTAAGGTCAAAATTAGTACTTTGAACTGAGTACATACAGTCATGTGAAAAAGAAAGTACACCCTCTTTGAATTCTATGGTTTTATGTATCAGGACATAATAAAAATCATCTGGTCTTTAGCAGGTCTGAAAATTTAAGTAAATACAACTTCAGATGGACAACAACACATGGCATATTACAGTGTCATGATTTATTTTTAAAAGTTAAAGCCAAAATGGAGAAGCCATATGTGAAAAACGAAGTACACCATATGATTCAGTAGCTTGAACCTTTAGCAGCAGTAAGTTGAAGTAATCGTTTTCTGTATGACTTTATCAGTCTCTCACATCATTGTGGAGGTGTGAAGGAGGAATATGTGTTAGTGAGCCATCCGTAGTGGTTGAAGCCATAGAAGAAGATAGAAAAAGTGAGAGAAGTGAGGAGAAGTCGGGGGTTGAAGAATTGACAGTTACAATGAAGGCAGGAGAAGTTGAACCAAAGGAAAAAGCGGGAAAGATAGAGGTTCGCTTGGTGAAAGAAGGTAAGAGCGGAGAGGGGGCGGAGCAAGAACTGACAGTATGGGAGGAGGATATAAATGAGGAGGGTGTGTGTTGGTTCAGTTCAGTTGTAGTGGAATATGAGCAAAAAAGAATTGAAGCATGAAAGCCTTTGAGAGCATAAGAACCCAGGGACTATTAAGAGATTTCCAGAATCTTAAAGTAGGGGGGTTACTGCCAGATCCAGGAGAAGAGAAGGAGAAACCGATCCAATACGTAACAAAAGAATGGACAGTGATTGTGGCACCTGCCCACAATCGCTTTTACGATTGTCCCGACGAAAGAGGCTGGATTTGTCACGCCTGCTGCGGGACTATTTGTGCCCTGAGAAGTACTCCTCCCCAGATGCCAGACTACAAGGAATGGTGTGGGAGAACTTGGGACTATGGGAAAAGTTTCAGTTCTGTGAGTTGTGGCTTGTTGCCTGAGTTAAGATTGTTTGACCTGATAAGTAATGTGCTGGATGAAGAAGGCAATAATAAAAGTGACAGTTCAAAGGTTATTAAAACGTCTTATTTCCCATGGAAACAGAGGAGTCGCCCAGAGAGACTAAAGAACCCAATCACAGGAGGAATTTGACCAACTCTTCTTTACAATGTTGCTTCAGTTAATTGAGGTTTGAAGCCGATTGTTTAGGCACAGCCCTCTTAAGGTCCTGCCACAGCATTTCAATTGGTTGAGGTCTGGACTGACTGGGCCACTGCAATTCTGTTACAGATTTGCTGGTGTGCTTGGAATCATTGTCCTGTTGTATGACCCAATTTCGGCCAAGCTTCAGCTGTCAGACAGATGGTCTCATATTTGGCTCTTGAATACTTTAGTATAGAGAGGAATTTATGGTTGAATCAATGACTGTGAGATACCCAGGTCCTCTGGCTGCAAAATAAGCCCAAATCATCACCCCTAAACCACCATGCATGACAGTTGGTATAAGGTGTTTTTGCCGATATGCTGTGTTTGATTTTTTGCCAAACACGGTGCTGTGCATTATGGCCAGACATCTCGACTTGGGTCTCATCTGTCCAAAGGACATTGTTCCAGAAGTTTTGTGGTTTGTCCAGATGCAACTTTGCAAACTTAAACCTAACATTTAACATGCTGATTTAGGCCTGTAGACTTTGAGATATAACTCTTGGGGGTTTGGCAGTTTCTCTGAACATTACGTGATCTGACCTTTTGGGGTAAATTTGTTTGGAGGTCCACTACTGGGAGGATTGGTAACTGTCTTGAACGTTTTCCACTTGTGAATAATCTTCCTTACTGTAGAATGATGAACTTTAAATTGTTTGGAAATGGCCTTATAACCCTTCCCAGACTGAAGGGCAGCAACAATTGCTTTTCTGCGATCATTGCTGATGTAACACTCCTTGGCATTGTAAATGTTATAGACTAGCAAACTGCTAAAACTTTGCCTTTTATATCACACTTGCTGATAATCAATTACTCAAGAGTATTTGGTATGTAGCACCTGGCTGTTACTAAGCCTCTTCTTTCTTATGGAAGCAGTAAGGATGTAGTTTTTCACACATGGCTTCTCCATTTTTTATTTTTTATTTTTAAATAAATCATGACACAGTGTAATATGTCATGTGTTGTTTATCTGAGGTTGTATTTACCTAATTTTCAGCCCTGCTAAGGACCAGATGGTTTTTATTGCTGTATTTTTCTGTCTGTAAGACGCTTTTTCCTAAAATCATTACCCTAAAAATTGAGGGACATCTTTTACATGGAAGAAAGCTGAGATAGCTGAGGAGAGAACGAAATGGCACTATACCTTGCCTCTGTAAACAGGCTTCCTTCAGCCACGAGGCTTAGTTTTTTACAGTCAGGAGACTTAGCTTACTCCAATCATGACCCTTATGGAACTGATGTCAGCTGATCCTGAACAAACCAATTGGAACACACCTCCTTGGAGGTAGAGCCTGTAGGCTCAAGATTCAACAGAGACAAATGTCCTATGTTCTGAGCCCAGGGGCTAAATCCTCAAAGTTAAGCTTTCTTAATTTTTGGGTTAGAAAATTGGGGGGGGTGTCTTATAAATGGGGGCATGTTATAAGTGGAAAATACGGTATGCCCTGATGTGTAAAACCATAGAATTCAGAAAAGGTGTACTTTTTCATATGACTGTAAATGGAGTGAGAGCCAGTGAAAAAGCAAAGCAAAGCATACTGCTTATATACCACCCCACAGCACTTTGGGTGGGTCACAATTTAATTATGTAGGCTACCCTTTGCAATATTGGGAATTCAATTTACTGACCTTGGAAGGATGGAAGGCAGAGTGAACATCAAGCCGGCTACCTGGGATTGAATCCAGGTCATCAGTAGAGTTTCAGCTGCATTACTGAAGTTTAATCACTGTGCCAAAATGCTCTTTCAAGTGAAGCCGAAAGCATTAGCAAGCTTAAAGTTGTCCTCTGGAAAATATCTGAAGTTTCCAGACTAAAGACAGTTCCACGATCAACAAATGATTTTATGATGAAAAGGCTGTATTACAATTAGGCCTCCAGGCTGGTTAGCAGTGAACTAACTTTCTCTAAGCAGGATCGAAGTAAAATAACTTGAACCTATTATTTCATTGTCCAGCTTCCCTACATGTATTGCTCATGTATTGTAGGTTTCAGGGGCTCATATTTCCCTATCAGCCAGAATAAGTTACACATACTAAGGTGACGGGTGGGTGAGAAGGTCTCATTCAGTAGTGATGTGAAAGCCACAACGTGATATAAGGCCTGCATGACCTGGCATATGCAAATGCTTTTGAACTGTACCAAGGTCTACAGGTTTTTATATCATACTACACTGCATAGGAGTTTGATGCAGATCAATATGAGACAGAATGGATTTAATTTAAATCAAACTGGATTTTTTTTTACAATTTTATAAAAATAAATCGTAATTTAAATCAGTTGAATTTTAAAAAATCACTGATTTTTATCCACCCGGATTTGAGAAGAGAGATGAACTCTAAATTGTCTGGATGTGATGGGAGTGGATCCATAAGCCACTACGTACTTTCTCCCTCTTTCTCAAACTCATCTGCATTTTCACATTTGGGTGAACTTCCATTGTGAGCAAATGATGCTTCGCCTCCCATTCTTCCTACATCAGAAAGCACCATAAATGAACAGGCATGGAAACTATGCTAATTCATGAGGGAAAATTATTGTGAAAGTAGAGCTGCCCCCATTAAGATGCACCCCTTAACATTTTCCTTTAGATTCTGAAACCCATGTACTCTGTATGGAAAAGGGTGAAAATTGAAGCAATGCTTCAATTACTTCATTTATTTTGTACTGTATTACTATTTGTAGTGCTTCAGCTCTGCAGATATATACAGTATATATATATATGAGAGAAGGGGAGAGGTAGCTGAACAAACATGGTAAAAAAGGTGTTTTTTTTCTCTGACCAAAGAACTTTGCTTTTGCTGCAGTTTGTTACCAAGGAACCTAGAGGAGTCTGAGAATGGCAGCATTCTGGTAAAATAGATCCAGTTAGTTGAAGGCAGGAACAATAAAAGGTTTGATTTCACTGGTTATGATAGTGGCATGAAAACAACCTATCAAGTGTTCCATGTATATAAAATTTCTGCCACATAGCTACTTATGACCTGGTAGTAAAGTATATTTTAAATTATGTTCATTTTTGCTTTTGAACTGCCCTTAGAGTTCTCATTCTTTGCTGGTAAATTCTGATTTTGCACACACCCCCTTTCCATAGGCCGTCCCTCAGCAGTGCTTTCAGTTTCCTGTTCAATATGACACAAGAGTCCATTTTACAGCCAATGTAATCCTATTTTCTTCTTATTTAACTGATTCATCAGAGTGCCAGTGGCATTCACAGCTTTGGAGTCCTTTCCTTTCAAAAAATGTTTTCCATTACTGGCTGCTGTCACAATAGTGTTGTCCAATACTCGTAAAAGGGAAAATCCAACATCTTCCCAGAGGACTTTTTTTTGTAATAGGTAAAATGAAATGAATGTCTTCAGGGCTCTGGAAGAATCTTCTGATTGCTTTTCTAGATAGTTTTCTTACAGCAGATTAGGAAGAAGAATTAATAACTAAAAAGCATGTGGGAGAAGCCCTGAGGGAGCAAATCAAGGGTCTCACCAGATGAGTGTTGTTTCCCACAACTGTATCTGGATACCCCAATGATGTGTTGTTGCCCTGCAGCAAGTCACATTCAGTAGTGTAATGCCTTTGAAGGCAAAAGTTATCTTCATGACCTAACTATAATTATTTTTTATACAGTACATGCTCTTCTGACTCACCTTCTTGTATCTTCCACAGGTAAATATGTTTATCAGCCTATGACTCCAGTAGAAAAGCTTCCAAGCACTGAAATACCTGTCCGGCCTCGGGGAGCCACAAACACCATACAGATATCTGTCTCACTCATGGAACACTTTTTGAAGTTTGCGCCGGTCTTCCAACCACCATTAGCCCCAGAGTCCCCACGTTTCTGCACAATCTCGGACCTCTTTATTGACAATTACCGTGTGAAGTGCATCAATGGGAAAATGTGTTATGTGCAAAGGCAGCCTCCTGCTGTACCTCATAAAATGAAGCCTCAGGAGGTCCCCACACGCAATGCCTTAATTTTGAGAGAAAATAATACACCAAAAATAGATCATTGCTCTTCCCCCTCCAGCTCTGAGGACTCCGGGATCAATGCTGTTGGGGCTCACTATATGGAGTCATGTGATGAGGACACAGAGGAAGGGGCAGAGCTAAGTTCAGAAGAAGATTATAGTCCAGACAGTAGCTGGGAACCGGACGAGTGTCCCCTCTTATCACCCTCACAATGTGAACTAGAAGTGATTGAGACCATAGAAACCACAGTGTGAAATCCTAAGCTGGAAGTTAGCTAGGCATACTTAAAACAATACTGGTTTTCTAACATTTATACTGGCTTTTCTGACAGATCTTTTTTCCAGTGCACTTGATATCCCACAAGGAATGCAGTAACAGTATTTAGCCATCTGTGAATTACTTTATACTAATTGTACCACGAAGAGTCGGACATGACTGAATGACTAAACGAACGAACGAATTGTACCAATAGATTTCTTGTATAGCTCAAAAGATGTCACCAGACGGACATCTTTATTTACAGATTACCCTTGATATCGTTAAGGGGCAGATAATTTCCATAGATGCAATCAACTTGTAAGATATTCCTACTAATCCTACATTTAAAACATTGGTTTTAGATTACTGTTATGAAGCAAATTCTTTCATGCTCTTAGAAAACACCAACAGTAAGTGAGCCATATGCTTGATGAGCAGAGCTGAATCCACAAACAAGCCTTCTTTATTCAATTTTATTATGTCATATAGGAAGAGGTTATACCTCCCACCAGAAGCTCTCCTGTCAGTGCACCCCTTTCCAAATAATCTGCAGACACCATTCTTTGGCAGCTGCAGAGTCACTCGGTGGGGATTCCCTGCATAAACACAATATTCTCTTAACAGTTGGAACCCTGTCTCCAGAAAAGTGAGTGACCAAGTGGCTTAAACAAAAATCCTCTGGAGGGTGTGTTTTTATACTGCCATCTGGCCAGATTCCATTGGTCACTTCTTCAGTCTGAGCAAACACTGCTTAATTAATTCACACATTGAATCTGAAGGCAAAGTGGATTTAGATGTGAAGGCATTGTGTATATAGAAGGAGCTGCCAGGGTGAAGTGGACTCATCAGATTGTCACATATAGGGTATATTCACACAACTACACTTTGAGTTTATTTTTTCGAGCCAGCCACATGTTTGAGTTTGAATTATCTCATAGCAAAACAGATTAAGGCCTTACATTCTGCTTGTAATGGACAGCTGTCATGTGCCAATGATGTGCTGTTGCGGGGTGGGGGAACAATGCAAATCAGCAGCATGTTAACAGCTTCTGTGACAAACAGATTCACACAATCTTTTCTGGTGTGTTTGGTGTCCAATCCATGCACACTGAAACTGAAAAGCATGTCAAATAGTGTTGTATGAATTGGTAATAATGTGACAACATTACAAAATAGCTTGGTATTGAAATGGGGGAAAAGGCTATGCTAATTCATTCCTACTTATTATTCCATGAATTTCTGCTTATTCTCATTTGGTTCTGGATGCAATTTCAGTATGGGAGCCAAATTATTATCTACTTAAATGGGCCATTGCCATGACTATTAGGGATGAATGGTGCTAGATAAAAGAGAACCGCTACTGTAGTTTTAGCTGTTGGAACATTTGGATTTAATCAAAGACAACTTGAAAAAGAGGTAACTAATCGGTCTAGCTGTTTTGCTCATGTCCCCTGAACCTTCCTTAATAATTGTGTCTCATTAACAGATCTAGAACAGATGAAAAGTATACAGTGGTCAGACAGGTCTTTAAATCTCTGCTGTATTTGTACGTCAGCGTTAGTTGTGCACTACATGATTATGCTACCCTCTAGAGAGGAATGTCCTGCTAATCAATTCAGACATGGTATTCCTTTGAGCTGTAAGGATACGTGATTGTTTTGCTGTTAGGGGTTACTATAGTCAGAAAATTCCAGTACTTTAGCAGTCCTTTGCCAGCAGATTTGACAAGACACTTCCAAACCATGTGCTACGACCATAAGGTTTTTTTCCTAATCTTTTTTGCTGCAGCTCCATATGGTAAATTGTTTTTAATTTAACAATTTTTTTTCTGTAACAGTAGGGCTGCTATGAATATGGCCCTATTTTGTAACACTTTGGTTAATTCAGTTTCTGTAAGTCTTGGTGAGAATGACAACATATAAATATGTACAGTTGTAGCTCTCAGTACTTGATTATCTTATGCTGTGTTGTTGAATGCAACTCTTTGAACACTATTCTGACACGTTACTAATTTTTATACATACACTCTGACATAGACACCTTTTAGAAAGCATTTAGATTATAACGTGTGTTATGACTTACTATATAAACTGATATTGTATTTAAAATATAAAAATAATACCCTAAGGGAAAAATGAAATATTTATTCAAATAAGTTATATTAAAATGCATTTCTTGACAATTCTTGACAAAAGGTTAAGGAGCTCAGTTCTGGGCATCACAATAGGTAAATCCTTTCTTAGCATTTCTGAAGATTTGGGGCATTCTGCTATTCTTGACAGAGAAACACTAATTCATTACAGAATTTCATTAGAGCTGTTATTATTTGAGGATTATTAAAGGCTCCCACCCCCTACGCTGGATTGTTAAGCATTCTTATGGCTCTTGTAGCAGGAAATCCATGCATAAAATAACACAATATTACTCTTAAACTGAGAGCTTAACATATATAATAACTGACTGTATTAGTTTGCAGTTGGGTTTTGTACACATGAAAGTCAGGTTTTCTGACTCTAGTAATGGTAGAGGGGACTGCAGAAAAAGGGCAAGTTACATTTGGGGGAAGGGACAGGGCAGCTTCTGAGGGAACACTTACGGTAGTTTCTTTCACTATACTGAGGAATCGTGACTCTCTCTCAGCTCAGCAGGCTAGCAGCCATAGTCTAACCAGGGCTAAGATTAGACAGATATATTCTGAACTGAGGAATGAGCTGGGAACAATTTAGTACAGAGTTATATGAGAGATAATGTTTTCAAACTCTTAATTAGCAATAGTTGCATACAATATTAATCTCTTAAACTTGTTTGGAAGTCTTAAGCACAATGGACAATGTCCTGTAGTGCCTGCCTGGCTTGCTTGGGTGTAAGCCATGGTAGGGTTTGGTTAGATGATTTAGCACATAATGCTGTGTCTCTGTGTACTCTCAAGGGTACCGATTTGTTCCATGTATACTTTCCACAAAACAATAAATGTGAAGACTGCTTTTGCACAAGCATGGAGTAAAGCAGATTTCTTTTCCATGATTCTGTGCCACTACAAAATGTTCACGTCTGAGGAACTGTGTGATTTTATGTTCTCCTTCAGTGGTGGCTGTGCTTTAAACATGAAACTTGAAGTGCCGCTGAACTGGATGTAACAGCTCTCAACATGAGAACTAAGGATCACATTTCACTGCCATTATCATCTTGTTTCACTAACACCCTGTCCCCAATTCAAATGTTTATTTATTTATTTGTCATATTTATAGGCCACCATTCTCCAGATAAGGGAACTCAAGGTGGCTCACAGTGTTAAAAAGAATGGAACTACAAACACAATAAGTTGCACATTTAAAAAAAAATTAAACTATAAAACTGATTAAATATTTTGAATGATTTATGATTTATATCTTATAGCCATCTTTCTAGGTCAGTCTTGTTACTGTATTTCCCATAGAAAATGGTACACGTATAAAAACATATTTAAAATATTTGAAAGGGTCAGCCATAATGCTTTATAGGCAACTCACTGCAACTCTTATGCCGAAAGCGCTGGAATGTCTTTACTTTTCTCTAATATCAACATTTAGGATTACAATTTTTTTCTTATAATTTTTTGTTATTAGTCTAGTCTGAAATATATTCACCTACATACACTCCTCTCTCACTATACAATTGCTTTCTATTGCCTCTGCAAATTTAGCACCGAAGAACTTCTTCAGCAACCTAACAGCTTTTGTTGGCATCATGGTTTAGAGTCAGTTGATCAGCCTTTGTCACCAGAGATCATTATTTTTTGCTGTCAAATATTTGAGAATAAAGCCTCTTCCTTTTAAGCTTCTAGGTATTTCACCTACTTGAGAATGTAGTTTTATTTCTGTTTAAGGAATGTACTGTATGACTTACTCAATTTCTCACTCTTTTGCAGTAGATTAACAGCTACTTATCTTGAGTTTGAAAACATTTGGCAGGAGTTCTATTTAACAAAGCATTAGTGAAATAAAATGGACAAGGTTCAACCATCTTAAAGGGGCAGTTTTAAAAATATGATACCACCCATTACTTGCATCTGCTAAGGCCCAGAGATTCCTTGATTTCATGTTTTGGATTCTTGTAATGAATGAGTCTGAAGATTCACCTTAGATGACATTTTACATGTAGAGTGTGCACTTCAGCACAGAGCTATGGCTCTTCTCCACAGATGTAAGTATTCCTAATTTACTGAACTTGCCCTTGTCCTTCACACAGTTTATGTAACAGATTATACCCAACAGTGTACCTTTGTGAATGACTAACACAAATCAATAATAGCTCTTACGACTAGAAGATGAGATGCATCACAGGGAACTTACACTTTCCACTGGGGATGGCCACCTTTGGCAGGTCCAGAGGCCATTTGTTTGGGCCCCAGGATTGTATTGGGGCTGCATAGTCAAAGCAGCTTGTTCTAAACAATCAAGACACCTTGGCGGTTAAGCTGAAAGGCTCTTTTTTCATGGCTCCCTTGATAACATGGTGTGTGTGTGTTTCTGTTAGCAGGACCTAGCGCTTTATATAAAAAACAGTATTTACAGTGGGGTCTTGACTTGAGAACTTAATCCGTATTGGAAGGCGGTTCTCTAGGACCTAGCACTTTATATAAAAAACAGTATTTATATCCTTAAATACAGATTATTCTCACATACAAAGGAGTTTTCTGTTCCCTGTTTCTCTTCTCCTTATGTATTTTATATTACATTGATTCTCTTTCTCAACACCCCCCCCGGCCCTTCCTCCTTCCACTGGCCTTGTGTGTGTCTCAAAAGGTTACAGTTTAATCTGAGAAGAATGAAGCAGACTAGACAAAGGTGTACTGAAAATAATCTTGCCCAAAGTCTCTCCTAAAAAAGACAATATTCTATCCATCTATATCCCACCTTGTGCTTTCCAGACTAAGACTTGGATCATTTCCCAGTGACCGGATTGTGAGGTTTAGGTGTCATGAAATGTGGATTTTCAAAAGCCTTGTCTTCTCCATGGGAAAAAAATAACAAAAGAAAAAACAGCCCCCTCTCCCAAAAACCAAGAAAAGAACGCAAGGAAATTATGGGAAACAGAATCAAACCACTCCCCCAACCAAAACTATTGAAATATAGGAAGATTTCTCTTCCCCTACCATTTGGTGTCTTCTTTTCTTTGAGTCTAGTGGGTAACAGCATACAGACCGGACTCAGGCAGCAGAAATAATCTAAGAAAGGGGAAGGGATGACCAAGAAGGAGGAAATCCTCAAATCTGAACAGGTTGGTTGCCTAACAGCAGCAGCAAAAATAATCCAAAGAAATGGGGGCAGGGACCAAAAATGATGGGGGAAAATGTCAAAAAAAAAAAAAAAAAAAAAAAAAAGGAAAGGAAAGGAAAAGATCCAAGATGGAGGAAAACAGCACATACCCAAAATAAATATCTGAAGCAAAGAATTTCTCACTGGACTCCAGGCAATCCAAGTTCCCTTTTCAAACAGCAGCCCTTGTGAGACTGATGAAAAATTTCTTGGGTCATTTAACAGACAAAGGGTGAATGAAAGGTTACACAAAAGAGATAAGCATGAAGAAACAAAACCTTTCCTGCTTTCAAAAGGAACTGTAATTCAGTCTAAGTATTTTTAATTGGAGACGGAAGAGTAAAGAGGTCCCCAAATCTAATGTCTGCATCTGAAGAAGCAGTGGGTTCTTTACCAATAAAATGGCTGCTAGAAATAATGTTGCCACTGGAACCATTTTCTCTAGGTTCTTGGGTTCTGGCCATAATTTTAAGGACCATTTGTCATCCTGGGGTTACCAAGGGACTTCCTGGTGTTATTAAGTCCCCAAATAATGCTGTAGAAACTGGCTTTTAAATGGTTAGTTGGGCAAGACTCTTAATCACTCTATAATCCTTTACTCATCTGCTTGGGAGAAACAAAACAAATGGGTCTTATTTATGAAATAGCTATGCATAGAACTGCACTGTAAGAACACACAAAACTACCAAGTGTGAACATTTTTTGTACTAACAGTCTTTCCTTGAGGAAAGCACAGCTTCTAAACTAGAATATGATTTCCTTTACTTTAAAATCAATGGTCACGTAAGTATAAGCAATCTTGTTTGATTATATCTGTCATGGACAAATCTAGGAAGAATCAGCTCATAGTGCTACTAACGTAAGAGTAGCAAAAGCATCTATGATTTGGGCACAAAAAGAGTGACATATTCATAGCATGATTATGACCACTTCCTCATAGAAGTTGCAATCAAGGAAAATATTAAACATTTATTTAAGTAGGTGATAGTTAAGTAAAGAGGATTATACTGGAAAATTAGTATCTAAGGCCCCAATCAACAATAATCCCACATCAAGCAATGTTATAAGTGAACACATGTGATGTCCTCCATTTTACACCTGCTAAATATAGGTCTCTGCCTTATGCAGATGTGTGCAGGAGAGCTATCAGTGCATATTAGACTTATTCAAGCATGCATGAATTGTGTGATGCATGAGAGAACAGCCCTGTCCCTGTCCCTTCTTGTTTTAATCATGGAAATGCAACAGCCTGAGGAAGAGGAGGTTGCTCTGTGTCTGCAGCCTTGTCACAGGAATTGAAATTCAGATTTTTGGTGGTTTGGCTCTCATGAAAATTCTGCCTGGATAGAACATCCTCCACCTCTTCAGGCTACTGAGTTCCCATGGTTAAAGAAATAGCTGGACAGGTATGGGGCTAATGTGCTCCTCTCGTTGCTGGCTAGCTTCACACACTTTAAGCACATCTTAGCAGGACTTAAACTGTTTCAGTATCATTGTGACTACACTGAACAAATGGCTTCCTTAATGCAACCATTTCAGTAGACAATCCAGTAGGTAGATCCAAATATGTATTCTTATATCTAAATGTAATAGTAAAAAGACTTCAAGAAATATAAAAGGGATTATTTAAAAAGATAAATACTGAGAACCCTAGAAAAACTGCTGTAATTTTCTTAACCCATTGCTTTGTGTTACGTTATGTTAATAAAATTGTGAGTCACTGCAGCCATACGAACAGCCATTGTTTTCCTGCTGTCAAATAAAAACCTGGTTCCTGTGATGCTGGGATGAAAATTCACTTCCAAAAGACTCTGACTGTACATAGTAGAGAAAGTAGTGGAAGGCAGGGGCCAATAACACAAGATGTCTATCAAGGTTACACTTGGAAATGTTTGTCCCTTTAATTAGTTAACTGCTTTTTTACAAGAAACGTTGAAGCACAATATTAAATGGGAAAATATGACAAAATGGAACATACATTTTCATCAGCTGCTGACACTGTACTCTGAAGCAGATCAACAGGCTTTCACTAACCTTTTATCTGCACTTGCTACGTATAATGACAGATGTCATGAAAACAGGAAATCCCTTGAACAGGTAAGGGGAAATAACTGCCACATCTTGGAGATGTAAGCTCATTAAACAGGATGCTGACAGGCAGCTTGTGCTTTACTACAGAAAAATAGGAGACATTTGCCATTAGTCCCATTAAAACCTACTCCTGTGGCAAGCTGTTAATTTTCCACTAAGAGGAGGAACGGGCGGGGGGGGAAGCATTGACAACCATCTGAATTCTTTCCTTTAATTCAGTACTGAGTTCATTACAGATAAACGGGATGAGGATGAGGGCAGGATGCAATCAAAGAGAATGTCCTTTCCAGGCAGCTCAGCAACTCAGCAGCAGCCATCATAAATGATGAATGTCCTGTTTTCTTCTGTTACAGTAGGAACAGTTTGATCACTGTGGAAATCCTGGCACACAGCTAGTGCAGGCCTCAGAACAGAGACACAACCTGGCACTAAGTATTTGCCATGGTCAAGTTGGCCAAATGGTATACTGTACTGCAATGTGCTTTGTTGGCAGAATTTCTGATTTACTATACTAGTTAGTGATTTAAAAAAATAGTATTTGCCACAGCAAACCTTGAGCCATTGTTAGTGAAGGCTAACAATAGACATTTATTAGGATGGATGAAATCAAAAGAGGACAAAGTAGTTTCACAAGTGTTTTGCAAATGTTGTGTCCTTGACAGTTCCATCTCATTTAGGTTACAGTTGAACACCCTACTTACTTAATGCTTATAGGGTTCTATGAGTTGTTCTTAATTCAAATGAGTCAGTGAAACCCTAGAAATGTCAATATTGGATGAGTGACATTTCTCATATTCTTTTGGTTCTCTTGTCTAAGGAAACAGGTTTCAATTATTTAAATAAGCTCTGGATGTGGACTCTTTATCCCTGGGGCTTAAAAAAAGGAAAATACAGCTGCTGCAAGTATTGTTGTGTTCAGCTCCAGCAAGAAAAAAACATTTGGCAAAGTTTATAGCTTTCATCAAAGGCTATTGACAGGACCCCCATAGATGTTTTAAAAATGTTTCTGCTTTGTTAAATAAATCACATAAGAGTGATTTCTTCTTTTTCTTATCAAGACTGTGCACTATGGCAATCTCCTGTTTACGTCAGGTAAAGTGAAATCCTCTGAGGTGGTTCCACCATCAGGGTATATAATACCATAGTAACATAAAATATTTTTCAGAGGCCTTTGTAGTGTTCCGGTAAACCATGATTAGTCTTCTGGAAGAGGAGGAGGAGGAGTGAGGTGAAGCTGGAAAGTCTCATTTTGAAAGACACTATTCAGAGCAGAATCACCCTGGGAGACATGGAGAACCCCATGTTTCTCACCACCATGATCTCGAGAGAGTTCCGTCAGAAGAGCCAACTATAACAAAAGAAAAATACCACTTGAGACATTACAATAAATTAAAGTCATGTGGGACGATTATGTGATGTGCACAGTATAGTACTGACTTTCTGAACAAATGAAATTATTAAACTTTTAAGAAAAAAAAAGTTGCAAACCAGAAATGATGTCCCCATGTCATAAACTCATCACTTTGCAGTAAGTGATACTATTGAGTTAAACAGAAAAAACACCTTTTCAGAAGCCAGATGCGGAAGAAAAGTGTAACTGGAAGGAGTGAAGGCAATTTTCCAGAAGTTCTTCTCCCATAATATTATATGGACACAGGGGGCATTAGGGAATCACTGTCTTGAAAATAGAGGCAAGCGTTTTAAAGAATTAGAACATACATCTATATTTCCAGGAGGCTTGGACTCCGGTAGACAGTGATTAGTAGAGTCACTCTGCTCCCACAGAAAAAACTCTTTTTCCCCACTGTTAATCCAATCAAAATGACAACTACCATGTTAAAAGAACACACACCAAAACTGTTTCCCAAGTAAAACAAAAATATATTACCCTGGAGGTTCCTCGGTACAGACGACAAAGCTGGTCAAAAGCTTGAGTTTGCTGGGGATCCAACAGGGATTCTGAGCTGGTCTAAGGAAAAACATTACAATGTTATTACCAATGCAAATCATGCACACCAATCACACATCTATACTGTTCAATTAGACCTGAAAGGTAGTGGAATTCTATAATACTAGAGTAAGTATATTATGATGTTGTTCAAGCTGGACAAAGGTTCCACTCAGGGTAGATACTTAACAAAAGTCACCCTGGTTTGTATTCAGATTGAAATGACAACACTAAATCTCCAATTAGCCTAAAGCTGGAAAAAGCAGCAAGTTTCAATAGAAAAGAGGCCGGGACCCTGTTGGGCACCAGGACAGTAAAATGCTTTGCCAATACAGCACCATGCTTGGGTAAGCAGTGTTGCTGCATATGCAGAGAGCCCGTGTTTCAAACTGCCAGGCTGCATAGTGAATATATTTGCATACCAGCAATTAAAAAGTCAACCTACTGCGAAAGCAATCCACTCTGTTTGATTCCACCAGAATCCCAGAGGGATTGGGGGTTTGTTTGGGCTTTTTTTTTTTTTTTTTTTTTTTTTTTGGATTCCAAAAAATCTAAATGTTTGTGGCACCACCACCACTGCTGTCTCCTGAGGCTCCCTGCTGCTGCTGCCACCACCATCTCCCTCTCCAATCAGGTGTGTCTGCTTGGCTGGGGTGCGGGGCAGCAGGGAGAATGGAAAGAGAATTGGAGGAAGACCAGAGGAAAAGGGGCGAGAGGTGAGGGTAGGAGGCATGAGTACAAGTGGACAAGCAAGGGGCGGAGGCAGCAGGGAGAAGAGAAAGGGAGGGAGATGTGGACAAGAAGAAAAGGGGCTAAGGGTGAAGGTACAAGGGCATGGGGACAGGAAGTGCCTGAGGGGTGGACATGCAAACAGGTGAGTGTTGGCTCCCCCCCCCAGCCCAGTGCTTTTATTATTATTATTTATATTTCTGCTATCTGGCAGCAGGAATGTTTTTAAAAAGTTAATGGGGTATTCAAATGTATGGAATCAATTCTAGCTTATCGATTCTACAGTACATCTGCCCCAAAATACAGAGACCTCTGGTGCTTTGTGTGTATACTAAAATTTAAATCGGATTTTTTTTTTTTAGAATAATCTGGTATAACAGCAAGTTTTCTTGTCAGTGGGATCAAGTCACAGAAACTAATAAACTGGCTGCAAATCTCCTGCAGCTCAGTAACGCTACGTCCTCTCTTCACGAACCTGAAACAGACACACATGGAAACAGAAGGGAAAATATAGTGATTTGTTCTTAGCCAAAGATAACTGTTTCCCCATTGCTGCTTCTTACTTGTGTGTAACTATCAATCAGATTGTTCTTTGGGCTGATGAGCTGATGTATTGCAGGCAATTTCCCTGTTGTCATAGAAACAAGTTCTGCAGGGCATTTTCTTTTTCTAAAAAAGCTAAAGGAAAGCTTTTTATTCAGGGTTGTAGGGGATCTCTTAGCAAACCTAACATTGGTGTCACTGCACTGACTATCCATGTGACATATGTTCCAATGCAGTTTCTGCTTCAAACATCAGCACCTGGCCAAACCACTGATAATAGATGTTAAATGGCTCAAAACCTGTAAAGATCACATGGTATTGAATTAATTCTTGTTTGTACTGTAACTATGATTTCAAAGCCACTTCCCCAAATCATAGCTTTTCAAAAAAAGTTACAGATTTCTACATGTCTCTTACTAAAAAATATATTGCTGTCTTATAAGTAACAGTAATAATTTGAAGCAGACATTCTAAACTTGAATGGTGTTTCTATAAAGAACCCATTATTCAAATAATGGGGTAGAGGCATAAATTCCTGAAAGATCTAGTCTTCAAATTTAACCTATTCTAAACATAGAAGCTGACTTCAGGACTGTGTCTTCCACTGCACTGAAAGTAGCAGATTAGTTAAGATGGTGAAGTGGAAGCTTTATGATATAAAATTGGGATGTGCCATTTGTTTTTGATGTAGTTAAAAAAAACAATGCAACTCCCAGAATTCTCCCAGAATTCCCCAGGCAGAATTCTGAGAGTTCCAGCCCACAGACCCACACCTACATATTGTACATCTGAAACCAGGCCTATCTTTGAAGTTGAATGGATGTCTCAGACATTGGCTTCCTGTTTGTCTGGTCTGTATATCACCCCATTAGGGACCACTCAGTATCCTGGTCTGGTTTACAGAATTAAACAGTAGCATCCCAATCCCCCCAGCACAACACTTGTATGGAGGCAGAATCCAAAATAACAATAATAAACAAAAAATGCCATATCTCTAGTATAAACATCTCTGCCCTCCAATATCTCAGCATCACTCTTTCATTCCTCCAGTATCAGCTGCCTGAAACAATACTTTGTTCTATATCGTGAAAAAGCTATCTGTAAAACACTAATTGCATTCCAAATTAAAGGAAAAACAATTCATCTAGTTTCTTTTAAGAAACATAAAAATAACAAGGCATTTGAAGAAATGACTATCAACATTTTTTTAATAATTATCACCACCACCATCATCATGTGCCATCAAGTTTACTCTGATTTAGGGTGACCCTTTCCAGGATTTTCTGGGCAGAGAGAAGTGGTTTATCGTTCAATGTATTCGCGAAGGTTTTCACGGCCGGGATCTAATGGTTGTTGTGGGTTTTTTGGGCTCTTTGGCTGTGTTCCGAAGGTTGTTCTTCCTAACGTTTTGCCAGTCTCTGTGGCCGGCATCTTCAGAGGACAGCACTTATAATTCCTTTCTTCTGAGGGCATCCTGGGAATGTGGAGTTTGCCCAAGGCTACACAGGCTGGTTCCTTTCACAGGAGGAACAGTAGGGAATTGAACTTCCAACCTTTGGCCCCACAGGCAGATACCTAAACCACTGAACTATCCAGCCACTTATGACTGTAACTCAATAATATTTAAAAGGAACTTCAAAAAATCTAGCTATAGATACACAAAGAGATACATTGCTCGTCTTCAAGTCAATCAAGGCAAAAAAGGACTTAACAGCAATGACAGAATTGTGAGGTACTGAGTTCTTATCACTGCATTCTTGTGCAGTGATGTTTTTGTACAGCAGAGCAAATCAACATTCTACAAGGCAATTCTAAAAATGGAGGGAATCCAAACAAAATATTGTAACGTTCAAATTGGACTTCGGATCAACACCAAATTGGACACAGGTATAGCAGACAGTCTTCTCCTGCTCTGTGCCAAAATTGGGGGTTTGGTTAATGAGTTTGAGTTATGAATTTTAAAAAGTAAAAGTGTTCCCCCATGCAGAAACAAGTGACCCTAAAGCTCCCCATATTTAAAGTATCTCATATAAATTGAAAAGATCAGTCTTGCTTATCTTTCAATAGTTGGTCCACCCACTTTTTAAAAATTTGGAAATAATCCAGGTTTCAGGTACCATTCACATTTGTTGAAAAACAGCCCTGACCGTTTTTTGTGTTGGGTGAGAAACTGTTAACGGATGAAAAAAGTAGTTAGTTTCTGGGAGTGTCCCTTGCTTGGTGTCACTTTGTGAATGCTAGTGAGCACAAGAGGATATCCTGCAGACTGTCCTGACTTGCTGCCACTGATGCTGCCAACATTCAGGGTGCCCTTTGTTATGAAAATGTATCCTTTTTCCTGCTGGCAACACAGGCACAATATTGTGTGGCAGTACTGGGTCATTTCTTGGCGTTCTGAATCATGGGTATAGAAGTGCAATATTCCACATTCAAAACTGGAAGTTTTTTTTAAAGAATTAAATTCACCTAAATGGAGGATAAATGCTTATGAATGTGGCAGAGGAAGACATTGGCATTTATACGCAAGGTAACATCTCAGCTACACTAATAAAATTATACTTCAGCTTAATCTGGTAAACTCTCCAAAGGCTCCTTTAAAAGGAAACCTTTGAAATGAAACGTTGGCATAAAACATGGAAATACTGCATTTAGATTAGCAACCAAAGGAATCAGGAAAACATTAATAGCTTATGTCACAAATTTACAACTGTTCTGCTTAGCCAATATGTATATATACTTTTGAAAGCTACAGTTAATTTCAATAAATAAAAACAAAGTGTGAAGGACTAATCAATTTATTACAGCACAAGCTTTTCTTGATTATAGGAAACAGACTGGTCTGTGAAAATTTATGTTAAACTAGTTATTCTTATACTCTCTTTGTTGCTTCTGTTGCAACAGACAACCATTACCTTTATGAAAAATGATTCAATTAATAACATCAGACATACTAAGAATGTGAAGTAGTCTGAAATAAGAATCAACATGCACACAGAGCACAAATTAAGAAGCCTGTGAAAACTAGCAGAAAGAGAGTAATATCAGATCTTTACATTAATTAAGCCACTTCTGGTTGTACTCAGGGATCTGATTTTATCTATTACTGCTAGTTTTCATGGGCATCTTGTTTACGGAAGATGCTTCACTACTAGAACAAAGCTGAAAGAATGGGTTAGCATCATTCTCCTGGAGATATAATGAGCAGAATAACTGTCATCATTTAGGCTGGTGATGTGTATAGGGCTGATTGTTGTTTCTGGCATCCCCATTAGAATTTATGCTGCTGCTGCTGCTGCTGCAATTTAGCTCGAGACTGTGTTGCCTGGGGCCAAAGCAGTCTACACTGCCATCTATCATTTTGGAAATTGTTCCTTCTGGCTGTTCCTAGCTTTGTACAGCTCCTGCTGAAAGCAAACTGCCAAACTCCGGGACTCTGTCTTTACTTTTTGTCCTTATCAGTCTGCAGAGGAAGGACAGATAAAGCTAGTATTCTTGCACTTAGCACAAGGAAAAGCTAAATTTCTCTTATTTTAAAGAATATGAAAAATGAATTTCATGAAAATCATGACATTCAGAGAAACTTGCTCTACTCATGTTCAAGTCTGAGACTATGTGCAACCTTAGAAATAATAAAAATTACTATAGAACTACAGTCATATTCATTGAATGCTCTGACTTTTTAAAACCACCAACCTTATCAGTATGCCTTTTTTCAGTGTAGTTTGCTTGGTTGGATGGTTACAAGAAAAGAGAAGCAAGTGGGGTGGAGGGGAGGGGGAAGAGAATTTAAATAGTGTGTGTTGCTGTCAGTTCATATAATAATCTCAACACTACTTCAAAATTCAACCTGACAGTCCGTTTCAGAAGAGCAGAAATGGTACTAAGAAATATACTCCAGATGCTTGGTGGCATTTACCAGCACCAATCCATTTTTTGCTGAAAGCATTCTAAAGAAATCTGAAACACCCAAATGCAAAACTTTACAGGTAGTCCAAAAGTATCTTCCATTCAACTGTATAAAAATGCATCTGACAGGAGTTTCTAAAGAATGCAGAAGGAAAAATTCTGTATTTAAAGTAACTCTAGATACTGAGCCTACATCACCTTTAGTTATTAAGACAAAATGGAGGGGGAAGAAACACTAGTGTTTAGTGTTTAGAAGTGCCTTCGCACAATCAAATCTAGTGTACCCATTACTGGAGAGGTCTGACCTGGCCATGCTGACACATGCCTTAGGTACATCCTGGCTGGATTACTGTAATGCACTCCATGTGATGCTACCTATGGAAAGTGTCCAGAAGCTTCAGCAGGTCCAAAATGCAGTACCCAGATTGCTGACTAGGGCTGGTTACAGAGATCACATAACCCCGTTATAGCAGCTCCACTGGCTGCTGATCTGTTTCCAGACTGAATTCAAGGAGCCGGTTCTAGCCTATAAAGCCCTAAATGGCTCAACCTCAAGCTATCTCAAGGACTACATTTCCCTTTATGTTAAGAACACTGAGAAGATCATCAGGAGAAACCTTTCCCTCAGTTCTGCCACCTTCACAAGTGTGTTCAGTAGGGACTCAGGAGAGGGCCTCCTCTGTTGCTGCTCCCAGACTTTGGAACGCCCTCCCACAAGTGGCCAGGCTGTCCCCATCTTTGCTGTTCTTCTGCAAACAAAGACCTTTATCTTCAAGCAAGCTTTCCCTGAGTGACTGACTGTCCAGTGGGGATTTCAAATGGATTGTTGTACCTTACTGCCTTAAATTGTTTTGGTGTTGCTTATGTTTTTTTGTACTGTATTAATTGGTCCTTTTTAGTATTCACATACTCATTGTTAGCGTTTGCATTGTCTTTTAATAATGTAAGCAGCCTTGAGTCCTTTGAAGGAGAAAGGCAGAATAAAAATGTTATAAACAAACAAACAAACAAACAAATTTAGGTTGAATAGTATTTACATCAGAGTGCCCTCCTTTAAATTGCCCCTATTGTTCTCATTAATTAGCTTCAAGGCTAAAGTATATTAAAATGATAAAGCAGACAGCTGAAAAGGCATGCTGTGAACAAACAGCTCATCTTCAAAAACCTCTTTGATTATTAAAACTGGACAGCTGAGAGTACTGCTAGAATTAGTTTTATTTCAATGCAAATAAAGTAAAGCACTGAAATGTCACTATAAGAGTAATTTGTCTGAACATTTAATTCAAGGCAAATTTAAGTGTTTTCTATTTGTGCTGCTATAGAACAATGTGCTGCTAAGTCCCAGAATCAGAGATCTTATTGGACGCATTAGCTATTTCCTGTAATACCTACATTGACTCCCACTGCAATCATCCCCAGATGCATTGTGCATTAGCCTTCTCTTAACCAGTTCAAGCGTATAACATTTATATGCTAAAATCAGGATTTTCTAATACTTTGCCTTAGCAGATTACTTAAAGCTTCTGAATTATCATTAAGCAGCTTTCAAAAGCAACATGATTCAGCATTGTGATGAAACTACAAAAATGCTAATGTACTCTCAGGAGGCAGAATCAGTAAAGTAGTAGAAACAGTTTCTGTTTCCCACACACCCACATGCATGTAAACCTCATGACGAAGAATGTAATATGGGAAGGATTAATCTTTGCTTATTTACAGGCAGGCACAACATCCACATGTGGCTCAGTATACCTCCCTCCAACCTGCAACACCCCCCCCCTTTCCCACTGTTGTCTGAACAACTGCCTGTGACATCTTACTGGTTATTGCCTGTACCATCATTAATGATGATGTTAATCCCCTCTCTGGTATAAAGTGCTTTACAGGATGAGCCCTTGTCAACATTCTCTCTCTCTAAATCTCACACACACACAGGGGGGGGGTTTCTTTTGATAAGAAAATGTATTTTTACAATTTAAATTACAAAACCACAATAAAACAACAAACAGGTAGAAGCCACTCAACACTGAGGAAACCAGAAGATCTTTTTCCCAGTTAATAGATAAAAAAGCACAACAGTGACCAGCTATTTTGAAATAACAGGAAAAATTTGGTTGCCTTTTAAAAGCATACAAGAAAAAGCATACAAAAAAGAAATCACTTTTAGAAGGTAGTTCCAAAAGGGGAGGGGCATCATAGAAAAAGTACGACTGCTACACATTATCATGTATCTCTCTGCACCGGTAAAAGGAATATGCAACAGGGGTATACAGTATGATGATTTTAAGGTGTGAGGAGGTATATATGACACAAGAGGAGGGCTGCCGTACTCCCATTTGGCTGTTTCTTACCTGGAGTACACCTATGCCACCTAGTGCAAGTTTAAAATACTAGCTGGCCCAGATACTCTTAATTTTCGTTTTTGAAAAAGGGGGTCTCTTTTCTTGATAGAAGCTGAGATATGAGGCAAAACATGTAGTTCATATTTTGCCCAGTTCTGTCAAAAGCCTACTACTGGCTTTCAGTGGCTTCAGTGAGTGATTGATGTCTCACAGCTACAACTGACATTTTCAGGGCCTTCAAGATTTAAACTGTTTTTTGGCTGACAGCTTGAATTAGGTACAAAAGGAAATCAGGAGCCAATGCAAACATTCTGAGTTTAGATTTAGAATTATCTCCCCCTCTCATGCTCTTTTACACCAGACAACAAGTGGGCTACTGCTTCCTGTACTAAGTGAAGTGCTGAACACAATCTCCACAAACAATTCAAGCAACAACAGTCTGTCATATGTGTTTATAGTGAGTTGCTTCAGCTCTAGTCTAATCTGAAAACTTCCAGCTTGAAACAAAAGGCAAGTATATTTTAGGTAGCTATCCCCGACTTGCTATTTCAAAGCTACAAGTTGACATGGCTGCTTGTACTTCAATACATTTCTTAAAAAATACAGAGGCCTACTACTTCAAATGATAAAGACTCCCAACAAACACTTCCTGCAGCCTTCCTTGTATGCAAACATAGCAATTGTACAAAACTGTACAAAAAGCACAGCAGGCATATACTGGGAAAAGGAGTCTTCTAAAATAAGTGGAATTATCCCAGAAACAATTGTTCCAGAAACAAATACATGACTGTCCAAAAGTTTTTGAGGTGATTCTTGCCAAACACTTTTTGAATGGCGGAATGGAGTGTGTATGATTGCGTACAATATCATTCTGTACTCCTAAACTCATACAAAAAGGAGATAATTTCGGTTTTGGAAAGGCTCACCTGTGCACGTCTTACCTGTGCCAGAGACACTGGAGTTCCCTTCTTCATTGCTGCAGAAGTCTCACTTATTTTTCCTCCTTTGTTGCTTGCACTGCATTTAAAACAAGTCCATCTCATATGTCCCTTTGTTTCAGTGCCACATTCTTTACTCAGCAAACAAAGAGAGTGATACAAGTGTCCACAGCTGTAACAAAAACAAATTATATTGCATACATACAATTGAATAGCAATAAGCATTTGTATTTTAAAATAAATTCTACATAGGCTCTTTTAAATCAAATGCCACACTACTAAGAGTAAGAAACATTTCTAAAAGACATTAACATTGTAACCCCTTTTATACTGTTCAATGGGGCTTACTCTCAGGTAGGTATGCAGAGAATTGTAGCTTAAGATAATAATATTGACTCCAAACTAAAAATGCCCCTGCCTTTTTCCTCATTTCCTAGCACAAGCCATATCATGCCCAAAGCTCATTTTCAATATTTGTTGTTGTTGTTTAATCATTAAGTCATGTCCGACTCTTCGTGACCCCATGGACCAGAGCACACCAGGCCCTCCTGTCCTCCACTGCCTCCCAGAGTTGGGTCAAATTCATGTTGGTAGTTTTGATGACACTATCCAACGATCCCGTCCTCTGTCATCCCTTTCTCCTCTTGCTTTCACACTTTCCCAACATCAGGGTCTTTTCCAGGGAGTCTTCTCTTCTCTTCTCTTGAGATGGCCAAAGTACTGGACCCTCAGCTTTAGGATCTGGCCTTTCAGTGAGTACTCAGGGTTGATTTCCTTCAAAATGGATAGGTTTGTTCTCCTTGCAGTCCAGAGGACTGTCAAGAGTCTCCTCCAGCACCACAATTCTTTATGGTCCAGCTCTCACTTCCATACATCGCTACTGGAAAAACCCTAGCTTTGACTACGCAGATCTTTGTCGGCAAGGTGATGTCTCTGCTTTTTAAGATGCTGTCAAGGTTTGTCATCGCTTTCCTCCCAAGAAGCAGGTGTCTTTTAATTTCGTGGCTGCTGTCACCATCTGCAGTGATCATGGAGCCCAAGAAAGTAAAGTCTGTCACTGCCTCCATATCTTCCCCTTCTATTTGCCAAGAGGTGATGGGTCCAGTGGCCATGATCTTAGTATTTTTGATGTTGAGCTTCAGTCCATTTTTCGCGCTCTCCTCTTTCACTCTCATTAAGAGGTTCTTTGTCCTCCTCAATTTCTGCCATCAGAGTGGTATCATCTGCATATCTGAGGCTGTTGATACAGTATTTCTTCCGGCAATCTTAATTCTGGCTTAGGATTCATCCAGTCCTGCCTTTTGCATGATGTATTCTGAATATAAGTTAAATAAACAGGGGGACAATATACAGCCCTGTTGTACACCAAAAGGCCTCAAACCTCTCGAAATAGATTAGGCTAAACCACCCTGTTTCTCCGAAAATAAAACCTAACCCGAAAATAAGCCCTAGTATGATTTTTCAGAATGCTTGTAATATAAGCCCTATCCCTAATATAAGTTCCAGTTAAATGGAACCCCACCCTCCACCATTATGCAGCACTGTGCAGCAACCAGAAGATGACATGACTGTATTTGAATAAATGTAGATTGTTGTACATTTAAAAAAAAATCTCCTGAAAATAAGCCCTAAAGCATTTTTGGAGCAAAAATTAATACAAAATCCTGTCTTATTTTCAGGGAAACACGCTATCTATAAATTTGGTATAGATTGAAGTTATAAAAGCTCTGAGCACATGTAAAGCTAACTAAAACATTCTTCCCCATGCAGTACAACAACACAGGAAACCTTCTTAACTAATGTGGGGGATGTAGTTCTCTCCATGTTGGTCATTACAAAGCCAATTCATGAGCAGTAAAATACTGAGGATCTCAAGAGATGGTAAATGTTGTAAACTGCCCAGAGTGGCCTTGGCTGACAGATGAGTGGTATATAAACAAACAAACAAACGTCACCCAAGACCCACACTTATAAATGTATGAATAAAAGGTGTGGAGGGATCACTTCTTTCCCATAGATAACATCTGGAAAGCACAGCTGTACACCAAAATCATATCAATTCAGACTAATACTGGACCATATCCATTATTATTCTGAAAGCTGTACATGCAATGAAGGCAGGTACAGTATATAATATCTGAAATGTCCAAATAAGAAACTTCAAAAATATTGAGTGCTAATAGTCTTCAGAAGTACCAGCAATTTTTAGCACCTGTAGTGCAATTAATCTAGGTTAGAATGCCAAATTGTAGATAATTTGCAAAATTCCAGTTTTTTGTTCTTTTCTGCAATTATATGTTAATGAGGTAGTACAAGAGTATCAGTAGCTTCTGCCTCATTACAAAAGTAATTTCTGACAAGACTTTTACAAAAATTACCACCTCACAATTTCACCCAGACGCAAACAGCTCACAATTTCCCATTAGGTCTCTGAAGTATCTTGGAGACAGAGAATCCTGCTTCAGAATGTTGAACTCCTCTCATTTGCACTTCCAGTCATGCATTCACCACCTCCCACAGCCAGACACACTGCACTCTGTAAAAAAGGACTGTTCTCCCTCTGTCAGCAACACTATTACAGTGGTGCCTCGCTTAGCGATTGCTTCGTTTAACGATGAAATCGCTTAGCGATGATCTTCGGAGCTATCTTGCGCTCTGTTTAACTATGGTTCCTATGGGCGATTTTCGCATAGCGATGTTTGGGACCTTGCTTTGCATAGCGATGACAGTTTGGGTCCCCCTGCTTCGCTTAACGATGGTTTTGACAGCCTCATGTTGGCTGTTTTTTAAATGTTTAAAAATGTCTAAAAAATGTTTAGAATGCTTGAAATCATAAGTGCACTTAAGAAACCCTTTGTTAAACTAATTTGACTTTGTTCCGACTCTTTTTAAATTTGTTGTAATTTTTTCCCCCATTGAGATACATTGAATAGGTTTCAATGCATTTCAATTGGGGAACCGTGTTTCGCTTAGCGATGTTTCCTATGGCGATTTTCGCTTATCCAGTTTTCAATGCATTTCAATGGGAAACCGTGATTTTTTGGGAACCAACTATCATCGTTAAGCGAGTCACCGCTGTACTACTTTCTTCCAAAATAAGCATGTTATGGAGGAGTGCTAAAACTAAGGTTAAGCTGAGGTTGACCCAGAGCACCAAAATTTACAGGACTACGATTTTCTTGCTGGTATAGAACATCCACATCCACAACCACACTGTTATTTGCTGCTAAAGCAGCACAAACATGCTTGCCATGAGCTTTAAGCCATTGCTCCCCAGCCAGAAGAAAACACAGAACAGCAGGCAAAGCATGGAACCAATACTGATTTGTGAATTTATTTCTTGTCACATTTGTGAATCACTTTACACAGTTTTCTATTAGAAATGGCAAAAAAGCTGTATAGTGTCCTCTCTCTGTGTGGATGTCAGTCTCACATGACCCAAGCATAACCAACAGAGTGTCAAACCCCAGGCACCAAAATTACTAGTTACAGCTCTTCCTGAGGCTGAAGAAAATCTTTTCTACACTATGTGGACAAAATTCAAAAGTACAAAACGAAGGGTTACTTAGATTATCATTCTCTTCTTTTTCAGGAGTATTCAAAACTTGCAACATCTCTCATATCAATCTGAGAATTCATATCATGGTTGCTGCTACACTACACTCCTTGACCTTTAGCAATACTGAAACAATGTTTTGGTATAATGACTGGCAAGTGGAATTTTAAAAAAAGAAGTTCCGCAAAATTAACTTAATGTCTTGCATTATCAACTAGTTATGCCTTTCCCTATACCTAAGACCATTAGGTATTCTCATCCACTCAACATCTACTCACAGATAAGTTCCATTCAGCAAAAATACTTTTTCATGCTAATTAGAAGGTTTCTATTTGCACGTCCAGACCATTAATCATCTCCATTATTATTCTGTTATTTTCCTACAGCAAAACAGAACTGAGAACTGATACAGTTATTAAAGCTATGATGATTTAGCAACAAAACATTTTGATGGGTAAATGGGTGATGATGGAGATGCAGGAGTATACAAAAGCTGTACTTCCAAATCCGCCACTGAAAAGTCATTTAAATGTTTGTATGTTCAGTACCACCACTGAACCATGCCTTAAATACTTAATTTACCCTGAAAACCCTTTTAGAGTCACCATAAGTCAGTTCTGACTTGATGGCACAGAACCACAACATGTCCAGTACAAAGGCTTGCAGAGGAGCTTGTTAAGCATCAAATGCAATTCTAACTTCCTCTGCAGAACCTGATGTTCTTTTTGTGAAGCTTTAAATGTTCTCACATCCCAATTGCCCACTTAATCTTCACTATGTTTTCAAGCATAATGTATAAATAGGGCAGATACGCCTTTAAGTATGAAAGTATTACACATAGGTGCTGATCATTCTGGAGGAATTAATGACATTAATTAAAAAACAGTAGTATTGACTAAAAGTACCAAATAAGAAGTAATAGCAACACATGTACAACACTACTACACCCCAGGAACTTTATGTGCAATGCCCCATTGCACATACGATGAATATATAAGAATTAAAGATGTGTAGTTCTTCTTCCTCTGTGTTATTTACTTAGCTGATAAATAAATCTGAGCCCTCCTCAGAGATGTCAGTCATTTAAGCTAGGAGCTCCCATTGTTTACATTTTCTCTTGTCTAGAGTTACCTGAAGACTATGATTTGGTCAGTAGTCTCTTGTCTTCTCTTGTACTGCTGTAAACAAATGCAGCAGAAATCTTGCTTGGGGTTGAGACCTCTAGTCACAGATGCTTTTAAATTACGTAAAGACCAGTGGAGATCATGGTTCAGCAGGCTAGTGGTTGTCTCCAAAAGTGTCTGTGTCAAACAAAACAAGGATACACCGAAGGTAAAATTTACTCTTTTAACCATATAACTAAAATTCTTCATCCAGTAAAACATCACATAAAAAATTAACAGAGTGCAGAAGTGACATCTCTGGACACATACTGGCTGAAATCCTATTGCTTGGTGCAGTAAGTCTAAACTAAAGTAAGACCACTCGAATCAATTGAACTTACGAAGGAGCTAACTCACTAAATCTTCATTGATTCAATAGGTCTACTCTCTACAGATTATGCTCAGCAACAGGACTTCAGGCACTAAATTTATAGCGCCCCATAGCGCTACAAGTACTCTCCGGGTGGTTTACAATTTTAATTATACAGGCTACACATTGCCCCCCCAGCAAGCTGGGTACTCATTTTACCGACCTCGGAAGGATGGAAGGCTGAGTCAACCTTGAGCTGGCTACCTGGGATTTGAACCCCAGGTCGTGAGCACAGTTTTAGCTGCAGTACAGCGTTTTAACCACTGCGCCACGAGGCTCCAAATATTATTGGTTGTTGTGGGTTTTTCAGGCTCTTTGGCCATGTTCTGAAGGTTGTTCTTCCTAACGTTTTGCCAGTCTCTGTGGCCGGCATCTGGTTATCAAGATGGTAGTGGTAGGTGAAAATCAACAGATGGACCAAGCTACTGCATGGCACAATTCAGTAAAGGGACTCTTTGCAAGTAGAGAGGAGAGTATCTACTTGATGGGCTGGAATGGGTGATGGGTTGGAAGAAGCTTATGACATGCCAATTTATTGGTTTTCAGCAGGCAAATGAGCATCAGAAGTGTCATCTGAGTGTCATCTGGGGTACAAAACACTAAGAAGCATGGATCTTCATCAGAAGGACTCTTTTATATAATAATATAGTTGAAGAGACTTTGCTATATGAATCAAGATGTTGGAGGGGGAAATATAATCTTCCAATGTGAGAGATATTCTTGGGTACTGAGACAAGTGGATCCAGAGACTAATTAATGTAAAGTAATGAGGTGTCCAATTCTGGCAGAAGTACAGGTGAAGGAATTGAACGCTTTCAAATGGGCATGCCTTTACTTATGAACTCCTTGTTATTCTGAGTAGATGTGCCAAATTAACTGACAAATATTTTATCATGTATAAAATGGACTGGCTCCAAAGAAAGAAAAGTGTGTATAAGGAGCACTTGTACTTTAAAAGAAGAAGATTAGTATTTAAAATTTATTTGGGGAATTTGCTGAATCCTGCTCTATAACGGCGATGGTGGGAATCATTTATTTTTAAAAATTACAACTTTAAATTATTTGCCAAAACATCCCCAAATCTGTCACAGAGAAAGACCAGATTGTCTAGTATTTCTGTGGCAAATTTGGTGCCAATACAAGGCCTGGTTTGAAAGTTACAATTTTTTATCTGAGCAATCTCCCTTTAGCAATGGCTTGTGGAATGCTGCACTGGTCATCCAATTTCAACCAAAATCCTGCTACTTAGTGTAGAATATTGATCAATGGGTATTTGGTGAAACCAGAGATGCATTTCTGTGCACCACAAATAAAAACTATAAACACAAAGTTCACACTAAGTTTAAATATGACTACTGCTTATTTCTGCATGGCACCTTGGGAAAAATTAAATTAATATTAACAGAGATGTGTTTGGAACAGTACTGTGTCAAATGTCGAGGAGAGTTCTGAGGCTCCTGAAATGTTCACCAGAAGACTATTCCTTGTTTATATTTTTAATACAGATTTGTGGCTTCTCAGAGCCCCAGATGGCTGCTGCTTCAGCAACTCTCCTGCATTAGCTCCTTTGCAGAGAGATCAGTTACTTTTTGTGTCTTTTTGTTAGTTAGTTTGTGTCCAGACAGGTCTTGCTCTCTCAGGGAATCTAATCACTAATGCCGCCCAGAGTACTGTACACCTTTGGTCTAGATGGGTAGGGTATAAATCTAATAAAATAAATAAATAATCAAAGAGTCAGATTTTGACAAGTGACATTGTTATTAATGGCAAAACAACATACTTTGAAATCTGTCTCGATACTTGATAAAATCACTATTACTACCTAGTCCATAAGTTTAAATGATCAGAGCAGAAGCAGCATCTGGTTAGATTTACAAAGAGATAGATACACTTTTAGTCCCTTTGGTGTCCTTGTGAAAATAAAATCGTAGAAAAAGGAGGGAGGAAATATTTTGCCAAGAGAAGATTAAAAGCATGTGAACAACTGCCCCATTTTGTTTCATTCTCAGTTTGTAGACAGGTCAAACTAGTGATATATTTGGCACACTCTTGGAAGAGGCACTATTTCCAATAGTTAAAGATCTCTGTTAAAGAATGTGATTTTCTTGATTGATTATCATGCATTTACTGTGATTTGTTTTGTGATTAGTAAATGGAAGATGAATACAAACTTTATTTGCAAGTCTGATCACTAAGACATATATATCTGAGGAAGTCATTTCATGGGAAGGAAGGATGTTAATTGCAGGACATAGGTCTTCCCCTTCATATATAATATGCGCCTTATTTTGCAAATAGTCAATAAAGAATACCTACTTCTATATTAAGGCCACCAGTTAGCATATACAGAAAATCTATATAGCATGGGTTCCCAGCCTGTGGGTTGCAGCCCCCACAATGTTTTCTGGGCAAGGGGGAGTTTGCTGTGTTTTTTGGAGAAGGGGGACACATCACCCTCAACTTGCACCCCCTCTTCCTTGCTTATATTTGCCAAGTCAAGCTCTCTTCACTGTGAGGCTCTTGGGTGCCCAGGGGCTCCTGGCTATGTGCTCTCCTTCTCCAGCAGTGGTGGTAGCAGTTCCTCCTCAGCTTGGCCAGCCAGCCGGCCCTACCTACCCTATCTTCATTCATTTATGTTTACCCTACCTTTCTCCTTAAAAGAAGCCAAGGTGGCTCAAATGGGAGACTAGAACAGGGAGGAGTGAGAGGCTGTGGCAGCCGTGGTAAGAGTTGAGAGGTGAGGAGGCAGCAAGGGGAGTGGGAGAAATTGTACTGGTGGAGGAGTAAAAAGCTACTGCTGCTACCAGTGCTACAATAAGGTGGTGGCGGAGCAGCCATCACTTAAATGGAGGACAAAAAAGGCATTGGTTTCCTTACTAAGGGAAAACTCACTCTCCCTCAGTGAAACTCAACTTTAACCCATGTTTGTTACCTCCACCTCCCAGAGTGCATTAAGGGACTGTTGTAAGGAGAGGGGCTTTAACAAACACTCAACTCTAAATTTTGAAGCTGATTTACCAGATTCAAGGACAATAATTAAATATTTGGTCAGAATCATATTCTATTCTATTCTATTTTCTTTACCCCATTAAAATGCCTTCTTATGCTAATGTGGCAGAGGGTCACAGGTTACTTGGCTATTATAAAAGGGGGCTGTGACTTGAAAAAAATTGGGAAACACTGTTACATAAGAATATCATACTATGCAGAATAGGCATGTACCTATGGAATAATTGTCTTTATATTGTCTATCATGGTGGTTCATCCATCTCTCTCTGTGAGAGAGACAGATACTTTTCTCCTATATAAAGAGAGTTCCAAACAGCAACTGCACAGCAAAAACATCAATATTCATGCCACTGTGGGCAACCTTCTAGTGGTATTTCTCTCAATCTTCCTGCTTAATACCTATGTCCCTGGAGCTAAACAGTCTAAAAGTATCCTAAATCAATTCTCAAGTAAGTACACCAGAGAAGCATAAATGTAAAATACAGTAGAGAAAATGTTTTATTATGGAACAGAAGTAGTACGATATATCTCTTCCCATTGCACTTGGGAGAAGCTTTCCTTATGAAATAAAGTTCCTTTCCCTTTAGGAAACTAAGTAAATTGCTTTCACTACCTGTGCTGATGCTCTGATGTGATCTGTCTATGAGTCTTCCCATGCCTGAGAGCAAGCTACAAGGCTGCTGCTTGTGCTGCTTTGAGGAACAGCGTAGATGCTTCAAACTTCTGTTGGAAAATCTGCTTGCAAGTGAGGTGAGCAATAAGCATCTTTCTGCTTTGGGCTCAGAAATGCGTACCTCATTTGGAAAATATATTCAAGGATAAAAGACTAAAGTATGAATAGCAGTTGCTAGTAAATATGAGTGCCTGGGAGTTGAGAGTGGGCTGGTGAGAATGATGCTTGAGATAGGTCTCAAAACAATATTACAACATAGTTTTAAGATGAAAGCATTTACTTGATTATCAAGAGTCATGAGGAAAGAGAGCAGGTAAATCCATCAAAAATAATCTATACTAGTTTCTAATCCTATTCAAAGTTGTTGACAAGCAGTCCCTGTTGACTCATTTGTTAAATCTGTTATTTAAGTACAAATATATATTTTACCCATAAAATAATTTTCAAATTAATGACTGAACTGGGATTGGAACCACTGAATGCCATTCTCACATATGGGCACAGTTGTTGTTCTTCCTACAATCAAGCAATTGTCCTCAATTATGTAATTACTAGAAGGTGAGTATCAAAGGTGAGTATCAGCTTAGCTTGAAGCAGGAAAAGAGGAAGACCAGATATGAGATGGATTGACTCCTTAGAGGAAACCACAACTCTGAGTTTACAAGAATTGTTGAAGGCAGGACATTTCAGAGATCACTTACTCATAGGGCCACCATATTTCAGAGGCAACTTGGTGGCACTGGAAGAAGAGGGCATGAACTACCGTAGCTTGATGGAAGGTCACATGGTATAGGCAGTGGATCAGAGTGTGAGGAAGGAGTCATTAATTTTTGTCCATAGTAAACATCTGAAATACGTAACTTTTAGATATATGCCATTTGCAATCAAATACAATTAAACAGCAATCCAATTCAATACAATTAAACAGCACAATCAGCCCCTGAACTATGTAATTTCTGAACAATATAAATTTACCATGAAAAGAGGAAAAAGACTGTTCTACTTACTTGTTCATAGTTAAAGCTGTCTAGCATGCCCAGCACAAGACCCTGAATTTCTCCAAGTTTTCCTTTTCCATACACTGGATCCTATGGAAAATTATTACCAGCTAATATTAATCTACATTAATTAAAACAGATTGAAAAACTATTACACATACTAATTCTATACTAAATCTACTGAGTGAAAGAAAGGGAAAAATGTGTTTGCTTGTTAGATAATGATTTCTTTCATTAAAACAAAAATTAATCTACGCTCTATCTAATCAGGCTGGAAGAACATGAAACTCACATGATTAAATCTATGTATTCCAGATACAGTCCAGTGTCTATACACAGAAACAATTCTATATTGCTGAAGTAAAGCAAAGCACTGGGACATTCATAAAAATACTCAATGCAGATACAAGAACCATGTCATGTGAAGGCTGGTGAAAGCCTCTGCCCTGCTGACTTCCCACCTGTCGCACGTTGCTTCTAAGGCATTCCGAGCAAGATTTAGAGTGATCCTGACTAAGGCCATATCGAAAGTAGTCTGACCTAGAAGAGTTCTGCCTAAACCTACTTTACTGCTGTAACAAAGAGGATAAAAATTTCCTAGTGCAGGAGTGCCGAACATATGGCACTCCAGATGGTTTGCACTACAATTTCCATAGTCCTTTATCATTGACAATACATGTTGGAGATTCTGGGAGTTGTAATCCAAACATCTGGAATGCCATCCTTATTCCAGTGCAAGCCTCAATTCTTTAGAAACCTTTTCTAAACAATTTTTAGTTTAGTTTTAGTTTAGTCACATGTGAGATTTAATTAAACCAGGGTACATGCTGCCTCATGAGAAAAAGTCAGCAAGATTCTCAAGGTCAGCAAGATTCTATTTTGTACAGTTTTAGAGAACTCCTGTGTAATATTTTTATAGCTCTGATTTCATTTGTGAAAGTCTGTAGCTTTTGTAGAAACACAGATCCAGAAACATAATGATCTAAAGGCTCAAAAATTTATCAGGATACACTTTTTTTGTTATTTTTAAAAAACAGGATACGAATTTGTTAAATTTGAGACTGATTGCATAAGCTCTTAAAGTACTGTATAGGATCAAGGAGTACTATAAGAATGAATGGGTACAAATCAAGTGTGTACGAATTAAAACTACAGAATTTTCTTTGACTATGGACATCTGAATGAACTATAGAAGGTTAATTATCTTTGTGGAACTGGGCACACTCTACAATACAAGTCTAAGGAAGGAAATGAACTTAAACAGTAACATAAAGATACAGATTAATGTAATAAACCAGAGCACATGCCAGTGATGACTTATAATCATTTTGTAAGCTAAAGCATCCTGCGTAGTTAGTGTACAATGATTTTTTAAAAGAAGGATTATTCCAGACATATTAATGGTTTTTCTGAAGTGTTCCTACATAGTGATTCACTTGGTACATCTACAAGCCATACTAATCCAAACATAGTAGTCTACAATTGAGAGATATCAGCGCCAGCAACACTGTCCAAAACACTATCTCTTGCACAAAGTGCTCAGTCTAAATATTATTGTTTTTCTGTACCTCCTTTTTATATTAACAGTTTGTGCTACAATGCTAAACTATATGTAGCAGAACAAAGGTGTTGTCTTGGCAGACTTTAAACAGAGAGTAGCTGAAAGAAACATGAACTACCATGAACTAAAACATTTCAGAATAACAAAAGTGACCGTCTCAAACTTATCTATTCATGCAGGAACAGAGTCTGTACAATTTTTTTAACTTCCTGAGCATCAACCATGCACGTGAACAAATGGCCAGTTCTAATATTTTACTAGGTTGATCTAAACCTTGCTATTAAGCTGTAAAGAAATAGCAGAATGTGCCAAAAATAAATCTGCACAAAGGTAGTGATGTCTTTTAGGGTCACATTCTTTTTCCACTAAGTGCATTCTGTTTTAGCATGTATAATTTACAAGCAGCAGCACAGGAAGTACATCACGTTGAGACTCCATATAAATTATGGAGGACAACTGGGAAGTGTGGGTCCTTAACACAGCATGTACGTGATCCATGACATACAGCAAGCTATTTTTATCTGCCAGAGTCCATTATTATTTTATCTTCAACAGTTTATGCATGTCAAGAGAAGACAAATATCAGTTAGATAAGAAATTGAAGAAGACAGAAGGGTAGAAGAGAAGGCAGGTGCTTGATGAAACTATGATCCAAGGTTTTGCATGCATGAATTGTTCCAGACATCTTCCTAATTAAACCAAACTAGCAAGGCATTTGTGGCATGATATTATTAATAAACTACAGAGAAACAGGGGATGCATGCTTGAAAGCAAGCAACTCATCTGAAACCTTCTTTAAATCTATCACCACAATTTTAATTAGAAACATTGAATTAAAGAAATATAGAATTTCTATGTTTGTCTTGACAGCAGCAATCTGGTGGCAATTATTTTACTATTAAAAGCTTCCCATACCCCACCCCATATCCTGAGGCTCCCAAAGGCTTACCCAGGGCAAAAGGGAGCCCTATGGATACTCAGAACCTGAAGGGCGAGTAGGAACCTTCCATGAGTTTAAATTAAATGTTTGTAGCATCTGATCTGAGTTATGCCAGTATAAAGTCACACAGCAAGATTTTGCCCAGTGATTCCAAGAAACTGGCCAAACTCTGAGATGGTGTGGATGTATAACCTCAAGACAAGTGTAATGGACTCTCTGGCATGATCTGCAGAATTATCACTTACAAAGTATCAAGCGCTAGTTTGAAAGATGATTTTTAAAATATTACCAGGAATCAACATTGTGGACATTGCTTCCCACCCCAAATGGTTTTAGCACATTTACAAATACATTTTGCTTTGTTCTGTGATTGGTCTTCAGAATTAAGCATAGGACTTCTTCAAACTCTGATTTATCAAACAGCAATGACTGCCTCAGTATACCTCTCCAACACAAATCTGCCACAGTGAAGGGAATAATTTATAACCTCTGTTTCTACTCTAAAATTCAGTATAGATGAACTAAGGAGGCAACTATATTAGTCATTTATCCCAGTTTGCCTTGGACCTGGCACAGATTAAATCAAATTTAAAAACAGTAACTGCATGATATAAAGCTAAACCTGAAAAAGTTTGGTGGGGGAATTGTCTCTTTTCAATGTGCAATCATCTCTTTTTGTTCATCCAACATAGGTGGTTTATTTTGCTCCAATTTGGCTGGCACTGCTTTTTTCTGCTCTGTGTGATTGCTGGATTCAGTGCAAAGAGTAGATAGTAGTGTCAGTTCACCTCAAACAAGTGCCTGTTATCTCTAAAGAGTGTCTCCCAAAACTGCAACAAATTAGTGCTGTCACTTCAGAAAATTAAAAAAATTAAAAGAGCTGAAGGGAAATAGTAGTCCCAATGGAAATTGCTAGTCGATCACTGAAGCAGCTTCCATGCATTAATAAATACTGAACAAAATACTGGTCTTTTTTCCCCCTGAACAAGGCAAATGCCTCTGCACCAAGGTTCCCTCCAATCTTGCTGTGTGCGTGCACACCTCTGCCTTCCTGCACACAGCTGTGTGCAGGTGATCGCGTTATGTTCTGGTCACAATGGAACCCTGTGCATGGGGGGGGGACAGAGTTGGGCACACATGCGGGGCAAAGTTGAGAGAGAGAGAGAGAGAGAGAGAGAGAGGCTAAGCCCCACCCAGCAGAGCTGAAAGTTAGAGGGTCCATTGCTCTGTGCTAACAGATTTTTCTCTGGTAGCATCTCCCTTTGCAAAAATGACTACTTTAAACATAAATGCACATTATTTATTTATTTATTTATTT